GTAATGCTTCTGAACCCTAGAGACATCTTATCATTTCAAAACCACACCCCAAACAAGGCATTGACCACTGCAGTCCACCCAATCGCTTAACACGTGCATCCATAAATGAGATCCCAAAACATGCTCATACACAGTACCTGAAATATCAGCATGTATTCTTACCTTATTTTCCATATTCTCATGGTTTCTATCACACACACACACACACACACACACACACACACACACACATGCTATTTCATGGGACATGGCGATCTTATTTACTCAGGAAAATATGAAACGGGCAAAATAAAATTTTGGGGGGTGGGGACAGGAGCCCCGGAGAAAAAAAAAAAAAAAAAAAAAAAAATCAACATCACACAGAAAGAAATTTGGTGTACTTAGACCACAGTTTGGTATTTTACTCTGAATTAAGCAGATTAAGCAATTGACTTATACTATAAATCCAGAGCAACTACTTAAATATAAATACATACAAAGGTACAATTAAAAAGCACAGCCAGAGGCAGCAGGTGACGTGGAGTTAAGGCTGAATCCCCATGACTGATCGTGGTTTGAGTCCTAGGTCTGATAGTTTAAAGAATCCCGAAAGGAGAATGGAGAAGAAGGGATTGAGGTATGGCTATCCCCAAGGGGAAGGAGGATTTTCCATATTCCTTCTCTCTCTGGTGAGTATACACACCCTATGGCAAAAACCTAACAACAACAACAACAACAACAACAAAAAACCCACTTAAATATCAAAGCATAATTTATTTAATATTTTCTCCTCATTTTGTAACCATGAGTGTAATTTCAAAGCACTGGACAGATGTACTTATCTCCCCTAACATCACATTAATTATACATGCAAGTCTGAAAAAGTGTCAGTCATCTGTCCCATTCTCTCCCACAGGGGTGCTGCCCTAAGCATTTAGCATTTCCATTCGCTTATTAGCTTGGGAGAATCTTCTAAGTCCTATCAACAGAAGATGCTCAGTGCTGCTCCTCTAGAAAGGAGCAACTAATACTTCTAAGTTCTATCACTTCATCAGAAACCGGCTTTTACTTGATCTGCAATGTAAACAGTACTTCCAGAGACTTTTGAGACAGTATTCTTTCATTTTCTATTAACTGTTGTACGAAGTTATTCTCCACTCATTCATCTGACAATTACATAACACAGCAATTTGAATCACAGTGAACTTGGATAACAAATGGGATTATAAATTCAAAAATAAGCAAGCACATTCCACTGTAATGCTTCTGAACCCTAGAGACATCTTATCATTTCAAAACCACACCCCAAACAAGGCATTGACCACTGCAGTCCACCCAATCGCTTAACACGTGCATCCATAAATGAGATCCCAAAACATGCTCATACACAGTACCTGAAATATCAGCATGTATTCTTACCTTATTTTCCATATTCTCATGGTTTCTATCACACACACACACACACACACACACACATGCTATTTCATGGGACATGGCGATCTTATTTACTCAGGAAAATATGAAACGGGCAAAATAAAATGAAAAAAATTAAACTACTCAAAATGCAGGAAAAGATGAAAGGGAGATGTGCAAGATTAGATTCATGTGAAAAACAGAGGAAGAGGGGAAATTTATAATAACTCTGGGTATTTTGTGGTTTTGTCTTTCTCTGGGCCAGTCCCCTAAATAATTTCATGTTTTTTTATCTGTAACTTAATAGATAATAATAGCAGTCTACTCACTGATCTTTTTTTTTAACTTAAAAAAAAAACCTGGAATATTAAAAAAATAAAAAAATTGAGGGGAGCCAGACCATGGCGTGAGCAGTAAAATGTGGCACTCTACAAGCAGACCTCAGTGGGAATAGGATATTTCCCTGTGTATGTTGGGCATGAGTGTGTGCTATGTACAGGGCTAGATGAAGCTGAAGAAGGATCAACTCCTCCCACACTGTTGGAGGGACCAGCAGTTAGCATAATAGCTATGTCGCTGAACTCCCATGTAGTCAAATGTGGTTCAAGTCCCGGGCCTGGTGGCTTAAACTCACACCTGGTACATGTGCATGCATGCCCAAGATCCCGAGAGGAAAATGGAAGAGAAGGGATTGTGGTATGGCTATCCCCCCTGGGGGGGTAATTTCACGTTTTCTGTCTCTCTCTCTCTCTCTCTTTGTCTTTCCAGGGACGTTTTGTGTCCTATAGCAAAAACTTCTTAAAAAAAAAAAAAAAAGACACTGTTAGAGGAGCTCTTTCTTTTTTCTTTCTTTTTCACAAAATATACTTCAGGGAAAAATACTTTTTTAAAAAAGCTATTAAAAAAAATTAAAAAAAAGAAATATTTTTCGGGACCAGCCATTGGTGTAATGGCTATGCCGCTA